CAAGAATGGAATCCTGCCAATAACTATGGTTGTAAGATTAGCAGATCTTCCCCCAGTCAAGCCTTCAGATGAGATCACAGCCCAGGCCAACAGCTTGACTACTACATAGAGAGACCCTGAAAGAGAGGTGTCTGGCTAATCCATGCCAGATTCCTGACCCACAGAAACCATGAGCTAATAAAGTTTTGTTGTTTTAAGCTGCTAAGCTTTGGTTGGGGTAATTTGTTACACAGCAATAGATAATACACTCTCCATGTCACCTTCTTGGGGCCACTCTTGTATATTGTCGTGTACTATTGAAGTTGTCAGTATTCTGTCAGGAATGAACTCAGTGCAACACATTCAGTTGAGTATCTAGAAGTATCTATGTGATGGCAGATTGACTGAATACTCATTGAGCGCCTTGACATAGAAGGAACATTCATAGATTGAAGAGCTCTTTCTATCTTAGTTTAAATGCAGTGCTGTTTGCTGGGAGCTGGCCCTTGTGAAAGACCGTGTACCCATGCTGGTTCTACCTCTTACTTTTGGCAAGTCATTTGAATCTCTCTGAACTGGGGTCCTCATCCCCAAATGAGGGGCCAATTGAAATGCACTCTGAAGTCCCTTTCCATGGACATTCTAGGATTTGAAGGCGGTCGCTAAGCATCAGATTGAGAAAGTGACTTAGAGACCATGGAAAGAACAGGCAACTTCCTAGCTGGGCACAGTAAAGGGTTAGATTCATGACCCCTCTACTTGCTCTACTTCCGTAAGAAAGTCTTTTTGTATTTCTTTGATGTACTGACTTCACAATTACATAAAGACCTAAATCTGGTTATTTTTATGCTCCAATGATTTAGTAAAAGTGAGAATTAGAAATCCAGATCCTCTGACTTCTGGCTTGTTGCTTTTTCCTCCAAAATCAGAATCCGCATTCCCTTTATTCCTCAGTCTGTTTGTTTCTAGGTTATAATTTCACTTCATGCAGCTATGATGCCATGAACTTGGAAAACAAATAAATGCCATTAAGCCTTCAAAGCCCTGGAAGTTTGGAAAACAGAGTTGGCCTGATGCTAGGGAAGACCCATTTCCTGAGCAAGGAGAGGGAAGGAGACGGTCCTTCTGCATTACCTTTTTTTTTTTTTTAATGTTTATTTATTTTTGCAAGAGAGAGAGCACGAGAGCTTGTGCACACGCACATGAGTGCACAAGTAGGAGAAGGGCAGAGAGGGGTGGAGATAGAGGATCCAAAGCAGGCTCTTCACTGAGAGTGGAGAGCAGGATGCAGGGCTCGAACTCACATACCAGGAGATCATGACCTGAGCCGGAGTCGGATGCTTCACTGACTGAGCCACCCTGGACCGCACTCCTGCATTATTTTATGCTTCAAACTGAGATGACTCCCATACCTCGATGGTGTATAGGCGGGGTGACTCATTTGTCTACATATGAAGAGGGATTCTGAAAAAAGCCCTGAGATCAAAATACGGCCCTTGGGAGCTGTCCCCCTGGGGCCATGGAAAGGGGAGACTCCAGAGGTCTGGCTTGTAGCTGTCCTCATCTGCTCCACAAGTGTCTATCGCACGGGTCCAGGGGAAGTCTCTTTCCTTACTCCCTCCCTTTCAAGTACCTAATAGCTCCTCACTCTCCAGTGAAGCTTGCACCAAACACGCCCCAGGCACAGAACTGTCGGTGCCTCAACCTACTTCTCCAGTTTTCTCTCATGTACTGTGTGTTCCAGCCAATTTGTACTCCTCTGTTCCCTGAACACATCCTGTACTTTTCATCCAGATGCCTTTGTTCCTGTAGCTCATTCCACTTGCAATGCACCTTCTCCCTCTGTCGAAACTCCATTGAATCTTCAGGACTCACTTCCAATGCTACCCCCTGCCCCTCAGACTGGCTTCTGATGCTCCAAAGAGGATGTGAACTCTGTCACTGTTTTCCATACTTGGTAATCGTGTAGGAATATGCCCTTGTTGCCCTTCTGCATTATAAACCCCTTAAAGACAGGAACTAATAAACCTTCATTGAATTTTATAAATTTAATGTTTCATTCTATTTGGCACTCTCAGACTTGCGGGCAGTGGTGTTTTGGAACTGATGTCGGAGGGGGATTTTTCTAAATAAATAAGGGTCAGCTCATGGGGATGGGAGATGGTATTTGAGCATATTGTTGGCTTCAAACATGAAAAGATTAATACCTTAAAGTGCTTTAAACGGGTGGCTAACATGTAAAATTAATACCAGTTAACAAAACTTATCTCCTTTTGCCATCCAGATATTAAAAACATCCACAACTTATTTTTATGCAGCATTTCCTGCTGCTAAGTATCAGCTCTAGCCATCTAGGTGAATAATCAAGTGTCATTTCTAATAAGTCAGCGGTTCCTGTCAAGAGTTTTGACCAATTAGAACTCACCCCGATGAGGAGGTGGCTGCTGGTGTTGCCAAGCAACAGCCAAGCTGGGAGGCACATTTAGATGCTCGGTTAGATTTAACCAGTGGCAAGTCAGAGTGACATTATGATTCTGGCAAAGGAAAGCCAAATTATAGCCCAGGATGGGGTACCCGTGATGAGGAGTGTGTTTTCTTTTAAATGCAAATGGAAAAGGAACACTTTAACCAGAATTTAAGCAGTCCATCATTATACTGATTTTAATTAGGAGATTAGGTGTCAGTGGAATACAACTGTGTTGAAAGATAATGGTCTCTTGCTGCTAGATAAATACCCAGACATTCTGCAAAATGGGCAACTGGTCAGGCAGGGACAATGTCTTTTTGGACTCCGAAGTATTTATTGCCACAGCCACACTTGGTTATAATGACTTTCATTTTTATTGTTTGAAAAGATTAAGAAATAAAAGCAAATATTAAAAATAGACTGCTGCAGGCTCATGCAGCCGAGAGAAAGCTGCTTGCTGCAGCATTACTGGAAGCCTGGGTCCTGTCCTAGAAGCCCTCATGCATGATCATCCAGAAAGTGTACGGTGAAAATTTAAAGGCCAAACTAAACCATGATGAAGACTGTAATTCTGTGAAGCTTTTGCACTGAAATGATCGTAGCTATGCATTTACTCATAAGCTGGCTATATCAACTTAAATTTTTTAAAATTGTAGTCATTCTGGAGTAATATGTCTTCTCCAAGGCAGGAAAGGCCTGGAGGGAATAATAACCACATCTGCCTCTGCCTTTAAGATTCATACATTATTGACTGTGCCTTCCTGACAGGAAACATCTGGATGAAAGTGAAAAATTAGGCAGAGAGCTGGATTCTCGGCGACTGTGAGAGATACCAGCCTTCCCTGTCGGTCTGGCTTTTCTTTAACTGAGTCCCTATCCACAGAGACATGATTGGCTCATTTAGTGTTGAGTGACACGCCCAGCCTGGCTCAGGCTGTCATGTCTGAAGCTTCCAGGTCTCCTGTATCTGCTCAGTCACCATCAGCTTAGTTTTGTGGGTGAATGAGTCAATAACCATCACTTCTACAGTGCTTTGAGGACTGAGAAGACACAAGCCACCATATTGGGTTGGATCCGTGGTCCAACCAATTTGGAGCCACTTAAAAATGGCCGCCCTTCATGGATTCTACCACGAAAGTCACAGCGCCCCGTGGCCTCATTTCTCTCAGTAGCTGACTTTGATGCTAACGACCCATGCTTTCACCTACTAAAAGCTTAACTAAAACTTAAGCCCGGAACAAGATTAAACGGATTTCTTCACTGCAGATCTCTCCCAACCTGTTAATGTGTTAAGGTAGATAGCAAATCGCTCAGAAGATGGTTTGCAGTATTTTCCGGAACTGTATGACCACGGGTCCTGTCAAACCCTTTTCCTCAGTAGTAATTCATAGCTTGAAAGTTCATTGTCATAGAAGTATAGTTTTCATGCTTTTCTCTTAAATGTATTATTTTGTATTTTCTTGGTTACACTGAAAGCTAGCTGCCACTTTTGTGTTGACTTACACAATCTTAGAAGAATGTTAGAAACTTATTCTAGTTGATGTGATATTTCTAAAATCAGAAGAGCTTAGAGGAATATACAAATGTGTAGATTTCATGGTGTGCTCCCTCTTTCAGATGAATTACAAAATTCAAAAATAAGATTAGTGCTAACCTCGGTCCCCAGGGAATCCCCCTTATTTATATTTTTCCCTCAGAGGAGAATTAATTTAGCCCCAGTTTTGTTTCTTAAAATTAAATCTATTTACTTCCTGACCCCTAATAAAGTTTTACACAACCCCAGGGTTACTCATTAATAGTCTTTGGTAAAGAATCTAGCACAAGACTCTAAAACTCTCAATAAATCTACTGGTTGCCCTTTTTAAAAACTTAATCTTTTAGGGGACAGGGTGAAAACTCTGGCAGGTCAGCTGGGCAAAATGTTCTCTAATAAAAAAAAAATCCGGGGCGCCTGGGTGGCGCAGTCGGTTGAGCGTCCGACTTCAGCCAGGTCACGATCTTGTGGTCCGTGAGTTCGAGCCCCGCGTCGGGCTCTGGGCTGATGGCTCAGAGCCTGGAGCCTGTTTCCGATTCTGTGTCTCCCTCTCTCTCTGCCCCTCCCCCGTTCATGCTCTGTCTCTCTCTGTCCCAAAAATAAATAATAAAAAACGTTGAAAAAAAAATTTATAAAAAAAAAAAAAAATCCGTTGTTTCCTCAGCGGTGCTCAGCAGTCCTGTAACTTAAACCTCAATAGCTTGGCTGTCACTGGACTAGGATTTCGGTGGCCTTTCTTTCTGGAATCAGGGATGCAGCAACTACATTTTCACCAGTTCTGCATCGTTCTGTGTTACCCCTAGCCTTAAGCCGAGACCCAACCTTCTTTTAAGTAAAAATATGGCTTCATGATATAATGCTGATTCTAAAATAACTTTCAAGCGTTGCTGACCCATGCTGCCTAATATGCACACAGATAAAGACGGTGCCATCTAGAGCCTTTGAATATTAATGACACTTCCAGACACAGGTAGTAAAGGACTCAGACCACCAAGGTGCTAAAGGAAAAAAGCCTCAGAATTCCAAGGGAAAGCAAATCTTTATTTCAAGAATAAATTCTGCAGTTTGATAATAAAAGTCCCCAAGCTACTTACAAATTCAGAAAGGAATGGAGATATTGATATTTCAAAGCTATTTCAGGGAAAACGGACTCAGATGCCCATAAACCGAGTGGAGAGCAGGCTCGGGTCTGTTGTCCGAGCCTCTCTTACTGCCTCTGCCCCTCCACCCCATGTCCTTCTGTGCCTCATTCTCCTCTCTGTGTCTTTGTGGCCTGTTTTTTCTGTTTCTGCATGTATATGCTCGTGACTCCAAAGAGAAAGCCAACGATTTGCCTCCTCCCCTTATTTAATTTTTCCTTGATAAAACTATTCCCTTTTATTTTTCTTTTATCTTAGTCTCAACATATATCCTTCAGTAGAAAGCTTCCTGACTCTTTGATTCTTCATTCATCCATCCATTCATTCATCCAGCAAATCATTATTGAGTGCCTGTTCTGTGCCTAGTGCAATGCAGTTAGCAATAAAGAAAAGAGAAGTAAAGTAAATGGACTGTTCACTGGCAATAGCACTACAGAGAAAAATAAACAAAGCAGGGAAGGGCATAGAGAGTTCTGGGGCCCAGCTCCTGCAAGTCTGGGGAAGCCCTGAGTCTGAGATGGTCAGGCAAGGGACCAAGAGGAAGACTCACACCAGTGCTTTCCACTCTGACTCTTATCAGAATTGTGCCAGGGAACTTGTAAAACATACAGGTTCTCAGTCACCCTTAGACATTCTCATTCTGTAGGTCCTAGGGTGGCTAGAGTTATGTATTTTTTAAAAATGTTTATTTATTTATTTTGAGAGAGCAGGAAGGAGAGCGAGGTAGGGGCAGAGAGAGAGAGAGAGAGGGAGAGAGAGAAGCCAAGCAGGCTCCGTGCCACCAGCACAGAGCCCGTCACTGGGCTGGGACTCCAGAACCATGAGATCATAACCTGAGCCTAAACCAAGAGTCGGACGCCTAACTGACTGAGCCACCAAGGCGCCCCTAGAATTAAGTATTTTAACAAGGATCCTAGGTGATTCTGGTGCAGCCCTTGGTCACACAGGTTTGAGGACCAGTGACATAGAGAGCAAAGGCCAGTGGGAGGTTAAGGTCCAAAGAATGCATCCAGAAACTTAGAGGGTTAGTTTGGTTAACTATTGGTTAACCCAAACTATTGGTTAACTCAGTATTTTACTGGCTACATGTAATAAAGGTGACTCACCTATGCTGGGCAAGGAGGCAGTCAGGGGCACTAAAGTCTGGTACCCTGCCCTCCTCCCCCGCCCCTCCACCCATCTTCCCCAGGATAAAAGACCACCCCCTTGTCATAGCCTCCATCCCGTCTACAATCTGGTGTAGAGTGATGCTCCACACTCAGAGCCCCAAATCTTGCTCTTCGGATTCCAAAGGAAGCTCCCTTTGAAATTAGGAAAACTCTTTTCTCTCCTAAGACTGTTTAACTTCCAAGACCCCTGTCCCAATAGGACTCGAGAAAGCCTGATCTGCTGTTCAAGACTGAGCACCGGCCTCCTTGTTCTGGAAGGCACCCCCTTCCTCCTTCGGGAGCAACACGCACCATTGACTCAGTGCAGGAAAGAAAATCACAGGGCATGTGATTTAATGTTTGAAAATATTATCTTTGTCACATATTTTTTCATCCTGGTGTTCCTTTCTATTTCAGCAGCGCTGAACATCTCTGGCTGCTCCTTGCTTCTTGCTTCTTGCCATGCATTTCCCTTCCACTTTCTCCTGGACTCGCAGGCTTTTCTTCCCGAGGCTTACTTGTAGGTGTCTCCTCCGCCCTGCACTTAGATGTGGTTCTCCCCACCACCCTCTTCTCTACCTAGGTAGACTGCATGCACTCTGGGGGTGAGCTCGCCCATGTCTGGGTTTTTGAGGACCATCTTTCCTGCCGTTCTCTCCTGAGCTCCAGATCTGCAGTCAACTACTTGCTGATGCATCTATTTAGATGCCCCACCCCCCACCAGGAACCTTAAATTCGTCCGGTCTAAATGCTCCGGAGGTGGGGAGAAGGAGGTCTACTGCTGCCACTGGAATGGCATCCTTTCTAATGGAAACCCAAGAACTTAAGGTATATTAAGTGGAAAGAAGATTTTCAAGAGAGTTAAGTTTACTGGGAGTGTATGTTAAGTAATGGGGTAGAATTGAGGCAAACCCCAGGGAATCCAGTCTGTGACGTTTCTTCCCCCTGGGGGCACCTGGGTGGCTCAGTTGGCTAAGCATCCACCCCTTGATCTCGGCTCACATCGTGATCTCACGGTTTGTGAGTTCAAGCCCCATGTCTGTGTTCTGCACTGACAGCAGTGAGCCTGCTTGGGATTCTGTTTCTCCCTAGCTCTGCCCCTCCCCAACTCGTGCTCTTGCGTGTTCACGCACGCTCTCTCTCTCTCTCTCTCTCTCAAAATAAAAAAAGAAATTTCTTCCTGTCCCCCTCTTCTCCCACCTCCGGCTCCCTCTGCCTCCCTCCCTGTCATTTATGACCTCCGTCCTTCCCCTAGGTACCTCAGTGCAGTAAAACACTTGGAGGAACTCTATTTTCTGCACCTAATTCAGGTTCTGAGAATTTGATTTCTGAACCAGGAGGAGAAAATGCTTTGGATCCCAGGAGCATGGAGGTTGTTTGGGAAATGACATCATATCCATTTCTGGAGTATACTCTATAAGGTGCTAAAGAAATCTAGACCTTGAAAAAAGATTCGGATTTATTTTTTTTTCCCCAAAGAAACATAGCTTAAATCTGTCAAGAAAACTTTTTTCCCTTTCTTGAAGCTTACTTTAAAAACAAAATCTGGGGGCGCCTGGGTGGCGCAGTCGGTTAAGCGTCCGACTTCAGCCAGGTCACGATCTCGCGGTCCGTGAGTTCGAGCCCCGCGTCAGGCTCTGGGCTGATGGCTCGGAGCCTGGAGCCTGTTTCCGATTCTGTGTCTCCCTCTCTCTCTGCCCCTCCCCCATTCATGCTCTGTCTCTCTCTGTCCCAAAAATAATAAACGTTAAAAAAAAACAAAAAAAACAACAAACAAAATCTGGTATCCTTCATCATTTTCTTTTTAACAAATGATGAGATTCCGCATCCAAATCACCTGCCAAATCACCTTTTCCTAAAATAAAGAAGCGTGCTGCCACACATTTGAGCTAGTGATGTCCACCCATGATTTACCTACTTCTTGTTCCTTCCTCTACTATTGGTTAACTCAGTACTTTATTGGCTACATGTAATAAAGGTGACTCTCCCTCCGCCTGTTTGGGTGGTCAAAACACTGCTTTGCAAATTTTATTTATTTTTATTAAAAAAGTTTGTTTTTTTTTTAACTTTTTTTGTTTTTGAGACACAGAGCACGAACAGGAGAGGGGGAGAGAGAAAGGGAGACACAGAATCCGAAGCAGGCTCGAGGCTGTCAGCACAGAGCCCGATGCCAGGCACGGGGCTCGAACCCACGGACTGTGAGATCATGCCCTGAGCTGATGCTTAATCGACTTAACCAACGCTTAATCGACTGAGCCACTCAGGCACCCCAGCTGTGCAAGTTTTGAAGGAGCAGGCCCTTTCTTCAAACAGATCCTCACCTGAGTCTCAGTCTCTAACACAGCGAAGTGTGGAGCAGGGCCCGTTGCTTCAGCTGAGGGGAGACCTCCCCTCCCAGTGTTTCCTTTCGGGGAACTTCCACGAGGGGGTGGCTCCCAGCGCTGGCTTCACATCGGAATCACCCCGGGAGTTGCAAAGCCTCAGACCCAGACTGCATTCCAAGCCAGGCCAATTGAATCAGAATGTCTAGACGTGGGACCCAGACACCAATGGTTTTCGAAGCTCCCAGGTGATTCCCATGTGCCCACGCGGCTGAGGAGGGCCGTGTCTCCTGCTCTCCACACCCTCCCTTATCAGACTGGGAGCTGGGAGGAAGGGACTGAGCGTGAATGGGCAGCCGTCAGAATCTGGCTCCGTTCTCCCGTGTGCTTTTTTGCCCTCGTGCCGGTAAGGCTGCAGCGTCCCCTTCCGGGTGAACTCCTGGCAGGCCCACGTGACCAGATGGCAGAGCTACGTTTCTCAAAGGGCGTACCGGTAAGAAAGGAGAAATTTGTATTTCCGCTGTGTGAAATGTGTTTCCATGCCTCAGCTGGTTCCAAACTTAGGCAGAAGACACCGAAGTGTTGCTCCTGAGCCCCCTAGGTTTCCAACATAGCCCCCATATGCTCCCCTTTCCCCTGCCCTCCAGATAGCCCCTGGGACAGTCCCACGGAGCCTTAGAATTAGAACAGCGTTCAAAAATCACACATAGGGTAGAGGAGCCGGGCAAACAGAGAGGTTAAGCGTATTCAGGAGCCGGATTAGGATGTTGGCTCTGACTTACACGCTGTGTGACATGCTCACAAAACTTCATCTCTCTGTGCCTCAGTTTCCTTATCTGTCAAATGAGGGTGCTCATAATCGTATTTACGTCAAAGGGACGTGGTAAGATTAAGCGTGTTAATATAAATGGGAAGCTCTCAGAGTGGTGCTGGCACAGATAAAAGCTTGGTGGTGCTGGTGCTATATGAGCTCAGCGCACCCTCTGCCCTCAGATACCAAAGGCTGTGTGGAAACACAAAACCTCACTGAACGTGGGCAGGACCACTGGTTTCTGAGTGAGTTATATTGGATGGGATTAATTGTGAAGTAAGGGACCTCTCCTCTTCCTGGGGGCGGGGCTTTAGAAGATGTCTAGGAATTAATCAGGACTGTACGGATGAGCATCTTATGATTAAGAGCGGCTTTCACTTATTGAACTGAAGACAGGCGACTCTGAGCCCAGGTTTTCTGGAACAGCTAGACATGGTGGATGAGTCTGGAAGGACGCTTGCTTTGGAGTTGCCCGGGCACTTGGGACTCTGACTGAGGCAGTCCCTGAGTGCTTCACATCAGAAGGGTTCAAGTGCACAGTCCCGAGTTCTTAGAAAATTCAGAGCGGACACCGAAGCCGCAGCAGCAATTGAGAGGCCATCAGGGAAGATCAAGTGTGACAGAACTTGGCCAAGAGGCGGGACAGACAGCCCGAGAAAAGGGCGGGTCTGTGGGTGGGGGAAAGAGGGAGCCCAGAGTTTGAGAGCTGGTAGCATGTTGTGGATGCCCTCTGGTCCACTGACTTGGCCCCCAAGGTTAACCTGGGCATGCCTGCGTGCCTAGAGTTCACTCCTCCCCAGTGATCCGCGGCCACCTCTTCCCTATTTCTGACTGGACCCACAGCTCACCTGTGTTTCAACCTGTTCTCTGGTTCCTTGCTGTGTAAGAGGTGTTTCACCGTTCAGATGCATCCGCATCACCTGGGAGTTTATTAGAGATGCAGGATCTCAGACGTGCTGAGTCAGAATCTGCATTTTAACAAGATCCCCAGGTGATCTATCTGAGCTGGAAGCATGAGAGGGCACTCCTCTGGTTTTCTCCTGGGCGCCCAATTGCTTCACAGCAATTGGAGATGTGGGAGCCTGGAGAAATGGAAGACACTCGGATACATGCCCTGCGGCATAGGAGGCCCCAGTGGGCGGGGCGTTTTAGTGCACCTTCTGGACAAGTGATGTGGTGTGAACCAGCGCTCCATCACCATTTGGAGAGAAGAAACCTCTTTCGGGGAGGGGGTGGGGTGAGTCTGCTTTCCCCGCCTCTTACCTCATTGAGCTTCTCAGGACTGAAAGCAGAAGTCAGGACACTTCTGACCTCTTCCCATCTTTCGTCACGTAAAAACAGGACGCTGTCCAATACGGGTTTGGACTCCAAGCCAGACACCTGAGGACAACAAGCAGAAGATTAGGACACAAGGGAGCCAAAGACACCTTGGTGGCAACACAAGTCTATTGTAAACACTCGGGTTAAAGTCCACCAGTGACCAACAAATTAGGAGATTTCTCTTGCAGGGACGCAGAGGAAGCATGCGAAGCCTCATGGATAACGATGTAAAGGTTCATGGCTTTACGTGAACAGCCTGGAGGCTGCAGATGGGTGGGCTCTGTCACAGTGCGGTCACTACTGTACAAACAACTCAGCAACTTCTACGTGTTGTGCATTCCCCCTGCTGAGTGAGGGTTCCCCCAGGACCCTACAGAAGGCTTCTCAGAGATGGGCTAGTCTTTCCCAGGGTTGAGTTTCACGTCTGAACTTTGTGGTGAGGGGTTTTGTGTGGCTGGATTGGTCAGGTTGGGCTGGGAGTTGACGGAGTCATGTCTCTGGGTCTTATGTGATGTGTATGTAGAGCAAGAGAGAATGTGGGGAGCATGGGGGGAGGGAAAGAGAAAAACAGAACCTTTCAGAGGCATGTCCCAATGGAGCCACTTCTAAGAGAACACCTGTCATGTTTCCGAGTTTTTCTATTCATTCATCCATTCATTTTTTTTTTTTCACTCAGCAAACATTTGTTGTGTCTAATGTGCAAGGAGATGGCTACTCAGTGTTGAATAAAGAAGACATGGTGGGGCGCTTGGGTGGCTCAGTTGCTTAAGCGTCTGACTTTGGCTCAGGTCATGATCTCGTGGTTCGTGGGTTCGAGCCCCACATCGGGTTCTGTGCTGACAGCTCAGAGCCTGGAGCCTGTTTTAGGTGCTATGTCTCCCCCTCTCTCTGCCCCTCCTCTACTCACGCTCTGTCTCCCTCTCCTTCTCTCTCTCTCTCTCTCTCTCTCAAAAATAAACATTGAAAAAAAAAAGATATCACACTGACCCTCTTGGAGTTGATAGTCTATTTGGGATGCAGACGGTTAAGCCTCTGAACTAACAAATATGCATGTCATGAGAAAGAAGTAGGTCAAGGCTAGAAAATGATAGGTGCCTGACTGGCTAGGAAGGCTTCTCAGTGGAGGAGATATTCAAGCTGAGTCTGAAAGCATGCAAAACACAAGGTCTCCTCACTCTTCTTCCCAGGCCGATCTGTTCCATTTTGAAATCAGCTACTCCTACCCAAGTCATCAAAACTGGGGTCCCTGCAGCTGGTCAGAGTGCACCCAGACCCAGGGCTGTGGGGTACAGGAAGGCAGGGGGATTGGAAGACCTAGTACTCTTTGGAACAATGTGTGAGGGACAGTTTTTGCTATTTGTTTTCACTGTTTTGTAGTTGAAATATGAAGCCAGCCATCATAATTCAAAAGCCTTGTAAAAGCTCATGTTTAGAGGAAAATTATAATTTTCTGATAAAATATGAACATTCAAAATAAGCTATAAAACATAACTGTAAAGTATCCAGGAGGGGATTTAATTATATATTAGAACAAAGTTGCTGAGATACCTCTCTGCAGAGAAATGCCTCTCTCTGTTTAGAATGAAACTCTAGGAGTACCGTGGCCATTCTACAGAATTATTACCTTCATGGAATTTGGGGAACATAATCCATTTGTTTGGGTTCTGGAGTCAAAGAAGGAAAATTTACATATTGGCAAACACCCAGTCCTGGGCCATGTTACATGAAATAAAGCATCTCATTCCAAGGAGAGCTGGGTGGTTTCTGGGGTTTGATGAAACAGAATAAATTAGAGATAAGAGCAATGGTTGATTGGATTTTGCTTCTATCCTTCAGACCCAAGGAATGGATCCATGAGATTTTTTTTTTTTTTTTAATCTTGCATCTAGAGGACAAATCTGGTCTTCCGTGCAACTTGTCCATGTTGTCCTCAGATATGTCCCTCGTCAGCTTGCCTGCCAGTGCTCTCCTCTTGGCCCAGAACTGCCATTAGAATTCTCCATTTTGTGATGGAAAATTTCAGGGCCTTGGTTAGAGTAATGTTTTGGTTTCTAGAGATGATGTTGTAATAGGGAGAGCCGCCGATTGGTCGTTTCAGGAGAGCCATGGGATGGTGAGGGGACAGTCTGACAGATTTTGGAACGTGTAGTTGGAAACAGAAGACTTGGAAGATCAGAGAGTGTGCTTAGGATGCACTGAAAACCTACTTATCAAATACGTATTATGTGGAAGAGGAAATTTAGGTGGTTTTTGGTGACCTTGAGAGGTGGAGGTGGGTTCCATACTGGAAGTGATGGGGGAAATTCCAGCTCACTTTCTAAAGGAGCACTTCTGAACTGTCAGAAGTCAGAATTATTCCAAGATAAAATAACCTGCTTTGAGCGATGAGCCCCATTGCTGGTGACCGTAATCCATTTTTTAGAAATTCTGCACAAGAGGCTTGAGTGTCAAGGGGGGATTGGTCTAAACGATGCTTAAGAATTGTTCCAACCCTGAGGCTTCATCTCCAGGGGGCCCCTGCAGGCTGTTTTTTGATTTTTAGTTTGCCTACACACACACACATACATACTTTTCAACTGTGGCAAAATACACATAATGTAAAACTTACTGTTGTAACCATTTTTAAGCACACAGTTCTGTAGCATTAAGTACATTCACAAAGTGCAACCATCTCTGCTGTCTGTCCACAGAATGCTTTTCATCTTACACAGCAGATGTTCTGTGCCTATTAAACACTAACTCCCCTCCCCTGCTCCAGCCTGGTCTCCACGTAATAATTGACTTGATTGAGTGATGCCTTGAGAGCTCCGTACAGAGAGCTCTCCCCCAAAGGAATGAGGTACGGGACTGGTAAGTCTGATGGGGCAGGACGATGGAGATAGGAAGGGAACACAAGACTCAGGAAGAAAAATCCAGAGATCTAGGGCTGTCTACCCAGCCCTGTGTCCTGAGTCTCAGAGAAGGCACCTCCACTCACTCTCCAGCCCGGCGTTGCCAGACTGCAGGCAATAACCAGCCATGAAATCAACAGAGTGGATGGCAACCAGCATTTTAAAAAAGAAAAGCACGTTCATGCTCTGTCTTTCTCTGTCCCAAAAATAAATAAAAAACGTTGAAAAAAAAAAAAAAAAAGAAAGAAAGGGGCGCCTGGGTGGCGCAGTCGGTTAAGCGTCCAACTTCAGCCAGGTCACGATCTCGCGGTCCGTGAGTTCGATCCCCGCGTCAGGCTCTGGGCTGATGGCTCAGAGCCTGGAGCCTGTTTCCGATTCTGTGTCTCCCTCTCTCTCTGCCCCTCGCCCGTTCATGCTCTGTCTCTCTCTGTCCCAAAAATAAATAAAAAACGTTGAAAAAAAAAAAGAAAAAAGAAAAGCTAAGAGACACAAGGAATATAACACAGTAGAACATACAGAGGAGCATTTCACAAAGTAAGGATAAGCATTTTGTTGTTTTCAAGATAGGTGTGTGTGTGTGTGTGTGTGTGTGTGTGTGTGTGTGTGTGAGAGAGAGAGAGAGAGAGAGAGAGAGAGAGAGAGAATGTGGTTTTGTGTGTGTATTCTGTGTCATGATGTGAAAATAGGTTTTCACTGTAGGCCACAGTCAAACAAGTTCGAAAAGCCTACTTAGCCTACTAAACCCCAAACTGGGAGTCATCCCCCCCACCCCCGCCAACTAAAGTCCTGTTGGTCACAGCGTTAGCAAGCGCTAACATTTATCGAGCTCCTACTATGTGCCAAGCGCTATGCTAGCATTGAGACTATCAAGACAAAGAATGGAATCCTTGCCCTCAGAGGAGCTCACAGTTGACTTGCAGGGTGGGAATGGGGTGGTTTACAACCAATATTGCTGATCTTACAGCTAACAAAATGCTTTTCACACCACTTCATTAATCTTGGGAGCGGTTCTCCAGGAATGAGGAAACACTGCCCTGCCAGGCAGTGACGGATCAGTAGCAGCCTCGTGGCTCCCCTGCTAAGTTTCCCTCAGACAGCTGAATGTGTTTGTCTTTTCAGTTAAGATCTCTTTTTTTTTTTAATTTTTCAACGTTTTTTATTTATTTTTGGGACAGAGAGAGACAGAGCATGAACGGGGGAGGGGCAGAGAGAGAGGGAGACACAGAATCGGAAACAGGCTCCAGGCTCCGAGCCATCAGCCCAGAGCCCGACGCGGGGCTCGAACTCACGGACCGCGAGATCGTGACCTGGCTGAAGTCGGACGCCTAACCGACTGCGCCACCCAGGCGCCCCAGTTAAGATCTCTTAAAAGAGAGTGTAGTTTCTTATTAGACCAGCTGAGCATAAACCTGAAAACTTTGAAGAATCCCATCACCCGGAGGACCAAGTTATGAAAGAAAACCAACACCTCGGCATTCTGTGTTCACATGTGTTCACCATTTATTGAGTGGTCAGTGTGGGCCAAACCAGTGCCTCTCAACTGGCCTGATAGAGCCACATGAGAACCACCCACTCTTCCCAGAAGGCTGCCAAATGCCCACGGTGCATTTGCCATAACCGAGTACGCATGTCATTATGCAAAAAGTGTAAAAGAATATGAAGCCGTAGCCAAAAAAAAAAAAAGTTGTGTCCTGGAACATGCGAGAACATTGACTTAAGGTCCGTACGATCTCTATGATGCCTTGGCAAGGCAGACAAGTTCTCCAGCAGCCACCCAGAGCTGCCGGTAACAGGTGAACAGGATATGGTTATA